TGGAAGGCTGAGTCAACCTTGAGCCGGTGAGATTTGAACAGCTGAACTGCAGAACTGCAGTCAGCTGAAGTAGCCTGCAGTGCTGCATTTAACTACTGCGCCACCTCGGCTTTAAATCCATGCGCAGCCAGTCCCCGCCATTTCCTGGGGAGGGAAGGGGGGAAACATGCCCCATGTGCCCCACACACACCTGCCATCCAGCGGAACTTTCTTGCTATGCCCGCTCCCGCAAACCCTAGCTACCACGCCCCTTCTCTTAGTGACGGCCGCAAAAAGAGCGGCAGGCCCAGCGACGCGATGGCTGGCAAGAGTGTGTCAGAAACAGAGACAGAACCTCCGGCTCTCTCTCGATCAGCTGATCCACGGGCCTAGGTTCAGGGGGGTCCCTGTACCTCAAAAAGAATAAGACCTCCCTGAAAATAAGGCCAAGCGCTTAGTTCGGGGGACAAAAGAAAATAAGACCCTGTCTTATTTTCAGGGAAACGTATTTATGATACTATAAACAGCCCAGATTTGCTTACTAGTGAGATGGTCGGCGTATAAATTTAGTGAATAATAATAAATCAATAATAATATTTCTACTTGTTTAAAAAAATATCTATTTCCTATCTTGTTGGGGGAATAGGTCCTTGCTACCGCCAGCTAATAGAATTATTTCTTGGGAGGGTTTTATCACACTTGGTGTTTGTTGTTTTGCTGCTAATCCAATTGGGTCCCCAATTCCTGGGCTGCGGCCTATTCGAAACCAGGCCGTGGGAGAGATGGGCAACCAAGAAGAGTTTTGTGCCCAAGCCAAGTGCCTGCCCCTCACACGAATGGAGCTTCGTGCATAAGTGCAAGCACCCTCCACTCACGCGCAAAGCTCCATTCGCACAAGTGAAAGCCGTATGTGCCCGCCACTCGCACGAATGGAGTGGTCCATGTGCGCCTGTCACTAACATGCCTCCCCTACAAACTGGAAATGTTGGGTACCACTGTGGTAATAAGAGCCGGTATCTCTACCTGGTTTTCTTTGATTTTAGGACAGGATTATGAGAAGAAAATTGCCTTTTTGGAAGATTCAACTAAGCAGCATTTAAACAAAGGCGGATCCCATCTGACAGCTGATTTATATCTGAAAGGTATGCTTTGAATAAAGTTCCTGATAATACCTGTGGGGAAATTTTCGCTTCCAGTTCATCATTAAAACTGAATTCAATCACGTACTCACCCTGGGATGAAACCAAATGCAATTTTGAATTGGGAGAAAGAGGGAAATTCTTAAATCTTCTTTTAAAAATTTATGCCCCAGGGAAGGAATCTTTGTAATTGTTTTGTTGCACATTAGTCATCCAGTTTGGACTTCAAAATACAGAGGGAGGGAGGGGGATAGAGAGTGAGAGAGGGAGGGAGGGAGGGAGGGAGAGAGAGATTCTTTTAGGTGGAAAGGAAATGTTTCCATTACTTTGAATTTCGATTAACAAACGTGACATGCATAGTTTACTATTGTAAGAGGGCGAGTCGGTTTCTTAGTAAGCATTGCACATGTTTTAACAATGGGGAAATTTATCTCCTCAATATCCTGGTTTGTCATTTGAAGTATGATCCTGAGGATGTGCAGCAACTTGGAGAAAACAATTGCTGGAGAGGATGTTAAGTGATGCAAATCTGGGTTTTTCAAGGAGGCTAATGGCAGGAATAAAGAAGGGAAACTCAAAGGAAATAAAATTAATTTCAACACTTGGTTCATTTGTGAAATCTGTAAAGTTCTTGTTTCCTCAATCTTGCCTAATTGGGTTTGACATACCGCACCTCAAGAACATTTATTGATTGATTGGTTTGATTTTTATATTCCACCTTTATTACTTTATAAGTAAGTCAAGATGGCAAAGCAGGCGTTATACACTTTCCTCCTCCTCCTATTTTCCTAAACAACANCCTCCTCCTCCTCCTCCCTCCAAGAGACCCTCCGGAGACATGGCTCAATAAATAAATAAATAAATAAATACAATGCGACCCACCCCTCCTCCTCCCTCATGGAGACCAGGCCCGACTTGGGGGTCCCCCAGCACTGCATCCAAGGCCCCGGATTAGGGGCTTCCTGCCCATCTCCCCTCGGCTGGCGGTGTCCCGTGGAAGAACCCCCGTGACCCCCCAGGAAGGAAAGCGAGAGGAAGAAGGGAGCAGCAGCTAAACCTCTTGTTGCCTTTTCCTTCCTGCCTCCCTGCAGTCTCGGACCCCCGCCCTGGTTTTTGAACACGTCAACAACACAGATTTTAAGGTGAGGAAGTGGGTATGTCTTTGGGTCTCGGGCGACGGGACTGGACTTCAACTCCCAGAATTCCCCGGCCTTTGCTACGCTGGGGGATTCTGGGAGTTGAAGTCCAGGCCTCTTAAGGTTGCCAAGGTGGCTCTGAGCCGGTTAATTGTTTCCTGAGCTGGGAGGAAAGGCTGCAGATTTCCCTCCCAACCCTTCCCTTCCTTGAGTCTCAGCGCTGGGCAGAGGGAGAGCAGAGCAAGGGAAGGGATGATCCCTCCCCACCCCCATCCCACCCCACCCCCAAGGACAGGAGGCCAGTGGGGGAGGAAGGGCCCAGCATCCTTTGCAGGCCCTGAGTTCCCGGGGAGGGGGTGGGGGGGAGCGCCCCAGTAAAGCAAAGCAGGCCTCCTGGCGACTTCCTCTGGAGGGTTTCTGGACCTCCAAGGTCCCTTCCAGCCCTTGGACTCTATGGTTTCTGTCCCGCAGCTCGAGGGGAGCAGGGCCAAGGGGTGGGGGGGTGGGGGCTGAGTGGGGAGGGGGGTGCTCCAGGCTAGAGCCTTGCGGGTGCAAAGAGCTTGGCTCTCAACCCTAAAAGCCTCCTGGGAACGGTCCCAGAGTCCTGGCGATGGTTGGGGCAGAAGGCCTGGCACAGCTTTCCCTCCCCGGAGGCTCTGTGCGTGGCTGAGGGGGAGCCCGGCGTGTGAGAGCCCAGGAGACGCCTCGCTAAGCGCCCTTCCCCTCTTCTGCCCCACAGCAATTGTACCAGACGCTCTCAGATTTTGATATCCGATTCTACATGTACGAAATCTTGAAGGTAAGAATTAGGCAGGCGGCCGACTGGCTCCGTGGCAAAGCCTCCTCCCGGGGTGCAGGAGGGGGCGCGGGTGGGCGGGCGAGGGAGGTCACCTTTCCTACCTGGGCAATCCGGATCCTTACAGCGGGAGGGCTGGTTTGTCTTTGGGGAGCAGCCAGGGAGGGCGAATTGGCCCCGCGGCGTTTCCCGCGCCTGGTCCTTCAGCCACGAGGAGGCCGGGAGCTCAGGGAGGTCTCCTGTTCAGCCCCTGGCAGTGCCAGCTAAGTGCCAGCGGATCTGGGACAGACTTGGCAGAGCTGCCACGCTGGGATGAGCTGGTAGCTGCCAACTTTATAAGCCAGCCTGGTGTGTTTGCAGCACATGAGCTGTGTTTCCACCGGGGCTAACTGGGGCAAGGGGTCCTTTGCCAGTCCTTGTGCAAAAAGCTAAACCCAGGTGGCACTGGGCTGGGCAGGCTACCTCTAGCCCTAGAGCGGGGGGAGTGGGGGGGAGGCCATGGTCCTTGTGTGACTTCTGGGAGTTGAAGTCCACAAGTCATAAACCCCTCAGGGGTTTTCCCTTCGCTTCCCCCTAACTTCCCCTGGCCAGCCATGTAGTTCGCCTAAGATGGAGCTTCCCTAGCCACTTGTTTTCACTTACTTTACTTTCACTTTGCACACACCCCTCACCCCTCCCCACAGACAAATGCAGGCCCCCTTGGGCAGCTGGCATTCATCTGCCTCCCTGCTTGTGCTCCGCGGAAGAGGCCGTCTACATTCTGGCCCCACCTGCCCCCACCGGAATGCTCTGCCCAGGAAAAGCCTCCGGGGGCCCGGGGGTTGCTGTTTAGGGGGCTCCCGGGGCTGGTACAGAGCTGAGGGGGGGGCCTCCTCCTCCACTCACCCGCTCTCTCCTCCCTCACAGGCGCTGGATTACTGCCACAGCATGGGGGTCATGCACCGGGACGTCAAGCCGCACAACGTGATGATCGACCACGAGCACCGGAAGGTGAGCCCGCTGACTTTGAGGGTGGGGCCCAAAGGGTGCCCGGGCCACGCTGGAAGAGCAGAGCGCGGCCCCATGGCCAGCAGGCCCCGGCCCCTCCCGCTGCCTCGCCTGGGGCGGCAGTCGGCCTCCTGGGGGAGAAGGACGGGAGCAGTTGCTGGAACAGACCAGGAGATGCTGCCTTTGAACAGCTTTTCCATCCTCCAGGCCACGGTTGTCCCCAGTGGCGGCGTCTTCTTCCTCTTCCTCTTCCTCCTCCTCCTCCTCCTCCTCTTCTTCTTCTTCTTCCTCCTTCCTCCTTCCTCCTTCTACTTCTTCTCCTCCTCCTCCTCCTCCTTCGTCTTCTTCCTCCTCCTCCTCCTCCTCCTCCT